TTAAAATTAAAAGTGTAATGTAAATGTTATAGAACATATTTAAAAATCAGAATAATTTTTTAGTTATTAAAAAAAATATATTTATAAATATTAAAATCAAAAATATAGCGAAAACCACGAAAAAAATTGCTTAACATGTTTTATATTATAAAGCCAAAAGCAATACTATAAAAACTATAAAATAAATATTTTAATAAATTAAAAAACAAGATATTTTAATAATATGAATACAAACTTAGAGAACTTTAAGCTTAATAATTGCAATAATTATTTGCAAAGTTCCGAAAAAAACAGTTGAGCTTATATACAATGTCTTGGCTTATATGTGTGTGTGTATTATGCATATATATGCTTATATAGAAGCTATATATGTATAATCAGATCTGCTTGCTAGCATATAGAATGTTACCCTATATATGCATATATATAAACATAAGGTGATCTATGCCTCTGTGTGTGGGAACCAAGGTGCTCCTCGGCACTATTACGTTCCGACTGCTGCTGCTGCTATCGCTGCCGCTGTCGCTATTGCTGTCTCTGTCTTCGACTGTCTATCCCTGTCTGACCAGGGCCAAAGCCAAAGCTTATGGTAAGGGGCGGTATATAAACACACACACACACGCACACACACAGAGGGACAGAATTGTATATTCGGGTGTTCTGGCTATGTAAGGGCACAAAACTTGGGCCGCAGCAATTCCACCCTTAAAACTGGCTGAGCAGATCTTTCACATGAGTTCGTTACGATCAGATGTTAGTTTTCCCAAAAGCCGAAACGAACGGAACAACTGACTGAGGTGTAAGCAACTATGTGCGCGCATGTGTGTGTGTGTGTGTGTGTGTGGATCGAGGGAACAGCACAGGGACACCCAATAGGGGATGAAAAGTCATGCATGCGTGTGAGTGTGTGTGTGTGTGTGTGAAATAAATGCCGTTTGTTGTTTTCATTTCATTATGTTTTACATAAGCAGAGCCGAAGGATACGTTATAATTTTTTTTTTTCGTGTGCGCCATCAGTCAACGAAGTCATTTCCGTTGGCAGCGCTGCCTACGACGCCGCCGTCGACGGCGACGTCAACGCTACTGCAGACGCCCCATGACATTCTGGTCTGGGCACGCGACACAGAACGCTAGCAGCTGTCCTGCCGTAAGGACCTATACCAAAAAGCCAGCAGCTCTCAAAGAACAAAACCGAACTGAACTCAATTGCGCCAGGAATACTTCAGCTAGAGGAGATCAGGCCAAGCCAGAGCTACTACAGTCGGAGCAATAGCAATCAAACAAACAACCTCTGCCAGAAGATTCCAGTTCAGATCTCAGATCTCAGGAACAGCGGGATCAGCAGTCTGTCTAGTCCAGTCTAGTCCAGCAGGAGGTGGATATTGCTGAGTGTGTAGCCTTGCAGATCAGGATAAGAGCACCACAGTCCTCTTCAGCTTCAGCTTATTCTGCAGCCGCGTGCAGCTCTCCCAAATGGCTGCACTAAGCTTTAGTCCATCGCCGCCGCCGCCGCTGCCCAAAAATGGAGCTCGCAATGAAAACGCCAGCAAGGAGAATCCCAATGCTAATTCCAACGCCAACGCCAGCTCCAATGCCAACTCCAACTCAAGCAATTCCCGCTCGGCAGTTACCCCGCTCGGCGCCAGCAGCAAGTCCTTTGGCAAGATCACCGTGCACAATGTGCTCAGCGAGAGTGGCGCCAATACGCTGCTGCAGCAGCACATTAACAATCAGAATACAATTATACGGAAAATCAAGGATTTCGGCATGCTCGGCGCTGCAGCGGCTGCAACGGCGGCCACAACAACAACAGCAACAGCACTCAATACAGCAACAACAATCAATCGGAAGCGTCCACTGAACGCCAACAAGTCGCCAAATGAGGAGAACAAACAGCAGCCAGCAGTGGGCCAGCTCAAGCGCAGCAAGCTCAGCAAGAAGACTTCAAAGTCTAGTCAGCAGCTGGAGAAGAAGCAGCAGCAGCAACAGCAGCAGCAACAACAACAGCAGCAGCAACTGGAGCTGGAGCTGGTGCATCGGGTGGCGGGCACGCCGGGTCGCAAAGGCTTGCCACTGCCACAGGCCGTGGCGCGACGCAATGCCCGGGAACGCAATCGTGTCAAGCAGGTGAACAATGGCTTTGCCGCGCTCCGCGAACGCATTCCCGACGAAGTCTCCGAGGCATTCGAGGCGCAGGGCGCGGGACGTGGCGCCAGCAAGAAGCTATCCAAGGTGGAAACTTTGCGCATGGCTGTCGAATATATACGCAGCCTGGAGAAATTGCTTGGCTTTGACTTTCCACCGCTCGGCTGCCACTCGAATAGCTCCTCGAGTGGCGATGATAGCTTCATGTTCATCAAGGACGAATTCGATGGACTCGACGAGCATTTCGATGATTCGCTAAGCAACTATGAGCTGGAGGAACCGCAACAGCAGCAACAACTGTCACAGCAGCAGCAACTATTACCACAGCAGCAGCAATTATTGCTGCAGCAACAACAACAACAACAGCAACAACAGCAACAGCAACTGCTGCTGTTGCCCAATGTGACCACATTGAATGGCCTGCAGTATATACGAATACCCGGCACGAGCACCTATCAGCTGCTTACGCCGGATATGCTGCCGGATAGCTCAAGTCTGGCGGATGAGGATGAGGAGCAGTTCAATGCATTAATTGACGACAGCAATAATTGCCCGGCAGCAATTGCTGATGGTGTTGCAGCTGCTGCCACGGCTGCCACGGCCAGCAACGGTGAATGTGTAAAATTCAGTTTGAATTTATCGCGATCGCCCGTGCCACAGACAGCAACAACAACAACAACAACAACCAGTCGCTGCTCCTCACCAGCAAACACAACGCCAGCAACAACAACAACAACACGAGGCAGTTCATCAATGCATCAACCACCAAGCGACGCTGCTGCTGCTGCTGCTGCAGTTTCACCTGTCGCCGTTGCTGTTGCTAATGAACTCTTGTTGCAGGCGTGTGCCGCACAACAACAACAACAACAACCACAACAACAGCAGCAGAGACAACAACAACTGATCAAACAGGAATACAGCGAGGGCGATTTTGTGCATGTCACCAGCAACAACAACAACAACAACAGCAGCAACTCTCCGCCAGCAATTAACAACAACAACAACAACTACCAACAGCAATTGCTCTGCTCTAGCATCTTGCCCCCATTTTATGATCAGGAGACCGTCTCCATCTATGACAATATCGTCGCGGGCCTGCCCAGTTTCAAAAAGGAATTCAGCGATGTCCTGCAGGATCACTCGACATCCACAGCGCACAATGTCAGCGTTTGCCTGTCCGATGAGAGCATGATCGATGCCATCGACTGGTGGGAGGCAGCCCACACGCCCAAATCGGATGCCAGCACTGTTGCGGGCATTTGAACGGGAGCAGAGCAAAGATGCTCCTTTTGTATATATAGCTCAACTATCGCTTAGATCGACACCAAAACAGCCCCCCCTTAATCCACCTAGTGATCTAAACCAAAACTAAACGAAAAATTCATCGAATTAACCCAACCAAACTTTTTTTTCAATATCTTTTTTTTTTTTGTATTCCTTAAGTTAAGTTAAGATTTTTTTTTGCATAGCTTAAGCTGAGATGTTGATTTGCCTATACATATAAATAGTACGGATATATATTTAACAAATTAAATATATGTTTAAAAAAAAGTACTCAAACGAATTCATTATTCTTTTCTCTAATTATTTGGGAGAGGTACTCAATGATGTTTTTTTTTTTTTTTTTTAATTAACACTAGAACTTAAATATCGAGTATAACCAAATGCTTTTAAAGAAAATCGAAGTATGGGACCTTTCAAATGAATAGATTGAGATAGATAGTAGATACATCCATGGTATAGTATGTAGATATATGGACTGCGTTCACTGTAGATAGATAGAAAATATATAGTAGAGTATAGGAATATATGGATTGAGCTCACTGAATAGTAGCTAGATTTTAGTTAAGTATGTATTAGATAGGCAGTAATATGAATAATAAAAAATTATTTTTAAAACATTTTTAAACTCTTCAATTAGCTTAAATTTATAATTTCTTAGAGCCATATTTCTATTACTTTTTTTTTCTTAAAGCCCTATTTATATTAATTCTGTTTTTTTTTATTTAATTTCTGTTCAACTGTTTTTAGTTCACATTTTAAACAAATATTCTAACGGTTTTTCATTTCCACTTCCATTTGCATTTTATGCCATGCCTAATGACAATGAAACATGCAATGTCATTAGCATTAAACACTCACAGAGACACAGTGAGATAGAGAGAGAGTGTGAGAGGGGCCATATGTGCACTATGGACCAAGGGTCTTAGTCAGTCAGGCCCGTCCCGTCACAATGGACAGGCCATATACCCATATACCCTACTATATATATGGTATATGTTTAGAAGGAGAAAAAAAAAAACGGAATTAAATCAGCATATCATGTTCATTTTCATAAGCGACGAAGCATGCAAGGACATGGGCACACACACACACATACACAGGACTCTAGATAGACAGACAAAAATATGGCAACATTTGCATAAGGCAACGAAGGATCGGGTAGTTGTTGTTGTATGTATGTTCGTGTGTGTGTGTGTGTGTGTGTTCCATGAGCTGGTAAGGCACCGCACCGCGCCTTGCTTGCTTTTTATTCAAATGAGACCTCGACCCGTCCTAACAGCACTTCGAGCTGCAAAGCCCAACGTGGGAATGAACAAAAAAAAAAAAACATTTTATATATACGTTGCAAGTGTTTTTCCATGGGATTTTCATTTTCATTCGAAATTTTCACATTAAAACTTTAACGACAACTCGCATATTGATGAGAGGGGCAAAACCACAAAGTATTTCCATTTAGAGTTTATAAATTTAACCAACACCAATTCATCAGCTCAGGTCAAGGTGAAAAGGCAGGATCAAAGGGTTAAAGATTCTCTAATTGATGAGCGAGAGCTAAGTTTAAGAACATTTCCCTTTCATTGTCTAGATGGAAGCTGTTGAGATGTATGGAAATATAGTAAAATATTATGTAAATATAGTAAAATATTATAAAGTATTTTATTACCATGAGATTATACAATATTTAAGATCTCGAATCGCTGAACGTATGCAATATTAGGGGAGTAATTTGCAGTTTTTTCCGCTCCAGAAGATTCCCATAAAAACTACACCAAATAATTCACTGCTTAAGGCTGGATATGCATCATCATCATTAAAATCTATTGCTAAAGTCTTAGGGCTCTGTCTTGCTCCCTCTTCCTAACTATGCTTCTCACTCTCTCTTGCTATAAATTGTCCTTATCTGCTGTGTCCTGTGCCTGCGCCCGCGCAGCTGTCCATGTCCTGTCCTGCTTCAGAGCCTGGCGCTCGAGGCACAAGACAAAGCGCGCCCAAAAGCCGAAATGATGCAAAATTATTTACACTCACACACACACACACTCATATATATGGAGAGAGATATGTGAAGAAAAACAAAGTCGAATGAAAGAAGATGAGCCCAGGAGAGACGAAGACGGAGGGAGGGGCAAAAGGTGCTGTGGCATAACAATGCGGCAGTTGCATCAATGCATCTGCATCTGCATCTGCAGCGCGCAGCTACTTGGACGCTTCGGGTAATACGAGCGAGCCCCAGGGCCAGGGCCAGAGCCAGAGCCAGAGCCAAGGCWAGGTCCAGAGCCAGTTTTTTAAAGACTCGAGTCGACTCGACTCGATTCGACTTCGGCTTCGTTTTTCGACTGTCGGCTTCCCGTTTCCAGGTGTGTTTGTCTAGGCTACCCTTGTGGGTGCCCCGAGCACGGTTTTCCATCATTCATCTAGGATAACTGTTCATCTGGCTAAATCCAGATATGGCGCACCGTTATGCTTATTAATATTGGGCCAGGTAATGCGACACGCCCTCTTTGGATAGTGAGCGAGAGAGCAAGAAAGGGAGAGCAATACCGCATTCCCCTTATTTCCCTCGTTCAGTCGTTCCTATTACACCTTCGATTTCGTGCGATCTCAAATTACTACACATTTTCGAATTCCCGTTGGCAAAATTTTCCCGTTGCTTGTCAAAAATCAATTTGATTGCTCCGTTATAGCTGCGCCGCCGCTTTGGTTCTTTCTTCTGTCAAGAACAGAAGGCTTAGCAGATGAATATTCATACAGGAGTTTTCCCTACTGGGCTATTACCCTTTGGCTTGATCAGCAGATCGAGCGACCTTCTGCCGCTGTATTTGGTTACAGAGGTTTGGTGTTCTTTTTCTGTTTCTTCGTCTGTACAGTTATGTGCCACGCCCCCTCTCTCTCTCTCTCTCCCGCTGGTTAACAGCAAGCACATGTCACCCATTGAATATTCATAAATCATTGCAATGTAATAACTCATTATTCATTGGCGTGTGGCAAAGACTCCGAACGAAGGCTGCGCATATAACGTTACCAGCCGCCAGGTGCTGCGTCTTGATCCCTGCCGAAGGAGGCGAAACACGCGCTTTCAATTTACTGTTGGCTATGGCGACATTCGGAAGGAGTGCTCCCTGACAACAGCATGTGCTCGGCATGGAAGTGTGTGAGAGGGTCTTATCTCAAGCAAATATTAACATAGCGTATCTCTAGAGAAGTATACCAAACTAACGTGATATTTAGTGAGTAAGTATGCTCCAGTCGGGTCTGCCTGACTAGAAGATGCCTGGAATCTTAAAACGGAGTTACCAACTCAATCATCAAGCCCGCGTAAATATGTAATCTATAAATATTTTTAATAATTTTAATTCTAATTAATAATAACTGAGGCCTTCGGATATATATTATATATTGCCTTAAAACACCTGAAAGTCTGAATGAAATATCAAAAATCTGTTTTTATATTACACAGTAAATATGTAAACTTTATT